TTTTCATTAGCACTGAAAATTGAACCGTTTTATCCAATAAAACAATTATTTTTCCACCGCTTATTTACATACTGATTTATCTATGATTGCATTTTCTATAACTATTTCAAATTTTGACTTTTCACATCGATTGGCATGCCAAACATTTGTTGCAATCACCAATTAGAAATTATCCGACCAAAAATTGCACACAATCATACAACTATTGTCGCTTACTGGCTGTTGTGTGTGTGTGTGTGTGTGTGTCGAAACTGCGAATACTACGAAAACTTTTCAATGAATAATAAATGCATCAGTTAACACAAATTTAGAAAATCTGCATTAATAAAATTAATTTTAAGCGATAACATTCGATTTCAATTGCGATAAAACAACACATTTGAGTAGGTCAGAGAGATCTCACTAGTTAAATTGCATAGAACGGAGAGTGAACTAAATATGACTGGGAGAACCAAGGGGTCAAATTACCATCCCTCAACCTATAAAGCCATGCATTGATACTGCACCGTATCAATGCAGTTCCATTGACTGATCGTCTTAAACGGGGCAAAGTTTCTGTATATATAATTCTTAAATACATATATATCCCACTCGCTTTTATATTCTCTGCCTTATGTGTTCTATTCTTTTACTTGATTTCACATAATTGCATTAATCCTTATGTTGAATGAGCATTGCTAGTCCGATGAAATGCGATATGAATGCGTCAACGTTCTCCCACATTCATTGATGTACACTCCCTGCTGATAGCTTGAAAAAGTGTTTTTATTATGTTGAATTTCATTTTGAAAACCACGAACAAAAAATCCACTTTTTTATCATTTGATATGAGCCAATCATGAGATGACAAAAAATCAACCACATTAAAGTTAATTATTTTCAAATGAAATTTTCATTGTGATACAACCATTTTTCTGATTCACAAACTATTTTCTTATTCAATTCATTTTCATAGTCGACAATGTTGCAAATATTGCTTTGATTTATGGCAAAGTTAAAATTAAATATCGTAAACGAAAACATAAAGAATTTTCCGTAAATATTTGTGCCATACTAGGGGGAGGAGAGAGAAAGGGGGAAAAGTAATCACGTTTCGAATCGACTGTGTTCTCATTTTCGCATAAAAAAATTTCGTCGTGGTGATAAATTCGAATTTCGAGATGGCATGGTGTATATGTAATTTTTTCGAGATGGCATGGTGTATATGTAATTTTTTTCTTCTTCTGGCGAACATTTTCAATTTCAAAATAATTTTTCTGTAAATGCTTGCATTTGGTGTGGCTGTAAAAAGAAGCAAAAGCCAAAGAAAATATGGTTTATAAAATTTAAAATGAGAATAGAAAATGCAGCGAGAGAAAAGAAAACATAAGAAAAAATAGCAGAAGCTGGAAAGAATTTCAGTCGAAATATGTAACACACAAAATTGCATAGAGTCATGGGACCTATGAACTCGACATTGTCGAGAGAAAAAAAAACGCATATAAACGACGAACATAAGAGCCCTAAACACCACACAAAATGTACAAGAAACAGGATACTTAATAACTAGGGGAAAGGCCAATATGTGTTCGAGTGTGTGAATCGATGCGCTCCCGAATTGGAAGACAGGGAGTTCTCGAAATAGAGCTGTCATCACGTAACGATGAATAAAGCTTTCTTGTGTTATGTTTATGAATGATAGATGACACGTAAATACATTGAAATGGTATGAGCAATCGAGCATACAGTGTGCGGGTTGGTTTGAAGATCAATACGCGCTTTTACAGTCATTCGTTGACTCCTTTGCGAAAATGCAGAAATTTGTTTAAATCATATGTTTCGTAAATTTTATGCACATAAATGTCAGGCACTAAATTTCCCAATGCTTTTTTTCATAGATATTCACCATTCTTTTGCGCATTTTTATATATTTTAAATTCAAGATAGCTCTTTATCGCGCATTCAAAAAAATGCAACCATAGCATCATAATAATACCTTTTGTTACCCTTCTCAACTTATTCGCCAACTCTATTTGCTGATATTTATTGCTTCACACTGTGAATAATGCAACAACACCACACCATCACCACTGGCGATGACATTTTTATTACATGACTGAATAAAATAATACTGAAAATGATTGCAACTTACAACACCTAAAAATGCCAAAACAGAAATAGTTTATGGTCACAATTCCATTCAAATCTCTCTAGAAACAATTTTCTGAAGTGCAGAGGTATATAGATACTTTCTAAGAACTTCAACTGGTGGTACAGCCGTAAGATAACCCGATTAATTGTTAGCTTTAGATTTTCGCGTTAATTCTTGGTTCTTGTCTAATAAATATTTTTATAGCATGCTGAAGAAATCTTAAAATGCATGATTGTATCTGAAATTGAATTCTGATTTTGATAATTCTATGGCATATTAGATTAAATTATTTTTTTCATAACTGACATTGAGTTGCGATAAGGTCATTTTATATTTCATTCTTTAAAAAAATTGAAGAATTTGGAAAATTTAACTTATTTAATTTTAATTTTAACAAAAATTTTATGAGGGGCTTACGACGTAAACTTTACGTTTTTTCAAAGACAGTTTTTTCCAATTTCTGAAAATAATTGATCGTATTGTGTGTCTTTTGTCATGATGAAAGTGAATAATAATTTAGATGTAGATCTGTTCGCTTCACTGGGCTGCTGATGGGGTGATTATACACTTTCTCGAATTAGATAAAGATATAGTTTCATTGTCTTTCATATTTTATAGGTCACATAGAAACAGTCAAATATTTAATCGGACTCGAATTAAATGTGAATGCAAAACATAAAAACCAAATAACATGTTATCATTCGGCTTCTGGACGAGGTAATTGCGTATATTCTCGACTTCATGCCTAGATATTTTTTTATTGAACTTCAATCAAATCACTTTTCTTGCTTTCTAGATCATATGGAAGTAGTAAAATATCTTATCGAAAACGGGGCATATATAAATGCAGAAACTAAATTGAAAGATATACCATAGAACATAATTTTTTAGGAATTTTTTTTAGTTTAAATTAATATTTATTTTCTTTTTATTTGGAAATGTTTGGTATATGATTACAATCAACAGGCCCAAAGCCCTCTTACAGATCATAATCACGAGATAATAATTTTGGCAGACAATACATTGAACTAACTGGTCAGTTGAGCTGACAGCACGTTAGCCAGCTAAATGGACTAAAACAATAGAAGTTATTGTTATAATGAACAATCACTTCTATTAAAACAAGTCAAGTGATTCATCATTAAAACAATAACGTCTATTGTTTTAGCCCATTTAGCTGGCTAACGTACTGTCAGCTCAACTGACCAGTTAGTTCAATATATTATCTGAATTTTGGGTTTTTAATATAAATAAATATTTGATTTATAATAATATAATAGTGAAACGTGAAAGAATGGTAGAACAATATGAGAGTCAACTGTTTTAAGTTGATAATGATAAAAGAAAAAGAAATGATAGTATATACATAAGGAAAATGGAATTAAGTTGCATTAGGAATTCATAACCTATCTGAAATTAGGCCATAGTTCAATTGATAATGATGAATATTACCAATATTGTTGTTATTTCAAACTAAAAAAACACAAGTTATTCAAATGTTGTACTGTACTTTAATCAAACCGTAATGAAATTTGTTCGATTTGTTGTTGTTTGTATGGAAACTATTGATTTCGAATGTACTTAATTCAAGTTAAAAAAATTATTCAATAAAAATTTCATGAAGAAGACAAGAGTGCCTTTTTATTTTCTTGGTTTACTTTAGTTATTCATCATTAAGATATGAGTTCATAAAATCTTCATTCCTTTTTACAAATAGAATTGTATATATACTGTTTTCCATGATAAATCACTACAACAAAATGTATCCATTCGAATCGGATAGTTGAATTCAAATTAGTAATCATCTCAAGAAAATTATTAAATAAATATTTGAAATTGAAATATGGTGTTCTTGATTTTACATTTTGATATTGATTAATAATACACAGAAAAAAATATTTAGTACTCGTTTTACCAGCATTTTTCAAAAAATTACATTATCCAATGTTGTCCAATCGGAACGGATGATGATTAAAATTCATTTAGTATTGAAATGATTCTTTTTATTATCACTATGGATGGCGCTATGCCTCAATTAAAATAAATTCGTAAATTTTCAAAGACAAAAAACTTCTTTAATTGAGTATAATATTTATTTTTCATGCGTTGAATTTTTTTAATTGACCAATTTGCAAAAACAAACATTGTTCATAAGACATTCAATGGACTCAAGCCAATCAATTTTATCTAGTGATGATTCACAGCTGTGTAAATATTTGATTTTACGCGAAAACAATCTAATTTACTAATGACTATTTGTCTTCTATAGACGATCGCGATTTCGATGCTGTAATCCGAATTTTTTGATGTCAAATATAACAGATTGTGTGTAAAATTTCTAGAAAACGGTCACATCACACATGTCGCGTATTTTTCAGTTTTCATTCAATTTATTCAAATATAGCAATGCTGTTCGTTGAACTGTGTTTTTTCCGGATTACATTTTTTGTTGTTATAGAATAGCAAAATTCCAGTTTAAAAAACATATTTTTATGATGATTTTTGTAGAATCGTTTTCCAATATTATCCGATACATGTCGTACAAATGGTCGTTGTTATTGATTTCATCGTCGATGTGAAAAAAGTGTCTATTTGTGTGATATCAATTTTGGCTGTGGAAAAATCAATGAAACGTAAATTAAAATCATTTGCTTTTGAGCTTGCATATGAAATATGTTGACAAATTGGAGGCGTTTTATGGTATTTTTGGATAAAATCGGTTTCAAGGCAAAATGGCATCGTACACAAGTGTTTTGTCCAGTTGCGTCCAAGTTCATTTCACAGTTGGCGCAATTCAATCTTTAATATCTTTGACATGTGTGAGTGAATGAGTGAGTGGGTCTCTTATAAATACGATTGACTTCGTTGAATGGCATTTAATTGAAAGCTTTGTGCCAAGTTATTTCCACATGTAAATGAAACAGAGTGAATAAAAAAGTCGACCGACAGAGAACGAGAGTATGAGCAAATGTGTTGTATGTCAATTTGTGCATTGAAAATATGGAACAACGATCATTTATCATCAAAGTTATCATTGGAAGCATCTTAATTGGAATTGCTGTTGCAGCAAATTACTGTCAACTATGTCGAAATCATGTTGCGTGCCGTCCGAAACGAGTGAGTGTTGGCTTTTTTTCATTCGTTCCTTTTTTTATATATATATATATGTATGGATAAAAATCGAAACAAAAATTTAATATGAAAAATCTCTGGTCGCGATTAGGGATTTGGTCGTGCATGTGGAAGTCGACGTGTCATTGTGCCGATGGATGCATCGCAACAAAAACTAATTTTACAAATCCATAACGGTATGCGAAGCATAATCGCATCCGGATTATTGCGCGGGTTTCAACCGGCGAAACGAATGGGATATATTGTAAGTATCATCATCCAAAGTTTTTTCTTATTTTTCGAGATCTTAACTGACCTCAATACAATGAATTCGCCAGCAATGGGACAATGAACTGGCCAAATTAAGTTTATTGAATGCGAAACAATGTCGCTTCCACTATGATAAATGCCGTAAAACAGGTAACAGTTAAAACGTATTTTTTACAACAACAAAAAAATAAATGTGTGCAATTACTGAATCAAAATGAAATGTTGTGCAAATTTAACTTTTAATAAATTCGGTTCGTTGACAGTGCGCTTCCCATATAGTGGACAAAATGTCGGCATCGACCGCGAAACCTACAAATATCGCGCTGTTAATCAATCAATTTATCGCATCACTTTGAAATGGTTTAGTCAATTTGAGCTGGCCGATGCAGCAGCCATGAATTCATTTCGCGTTCCAGCCGATCCAAAGTAAATTAATTCAATTATCTTTTTTTTCCCTTTACATATATTTTAAACGGTTGATTATTGTTAATTGGATTTGATTTCAATTAAAATAGGAAACGATTCCATAATTTTGCAGCAATTGTACATGATCGTCAAACCCATGTCGGATGTGCTGCCGTTAAATTTAGAAAAAAGAGATTTTATTACTTTTACTTAGTTTGTAATTATGCAATGCGAGTTTTGCCGAGGCGACAAATTTATGAAACGGGGGTACCGTATACCGGATGTGTTGCTGGTAGGAGTATTGATTATCCAAGCGTATGTGCAAAAAATGAACCAATATTTGCAATTCCGTATGCTGAACCGTTTGCTGTTTCACCAGTCAGAGGTCAAGCTCGGGGTAGAGGTCGCAAACGAAATCAGGTTCGAGCTTCAAATCGAGCACGGAAACAAAATCACAGCAGAAATGGCTGGACAAATAGAAGAAACACAGTGAATAATAATAATAATAATATTCGAAATAATCGAAGAACAGTGAAACGACGAACTCAAATTCAACAAACTCCCAATCCGTTTTCGTTTGGTTTCTTCTCCGGATAGATTTAAGTCTTTATTTTACAACAAAAAATATGTTTTATTTATCGAAACTATAAAAGCATTTTCACTTTTGTTTTGATTTTTCTTTTATTTCTCTCCCTCGAGCTATTGACTCCAAATGGTTTTCCATCCCAAAAACCATTTCCATCTGATTAGTGTTATGCACAAACTTCATCGTGCAAACAATGTTGGGTTTGAGCATTTATCAACGTTGAACAAGATGCTCACGTTCAAAACTACTTATGGTATCTCTTTTATTCAAAATTATATGCCCATTATATGCGAAACCCTTCACAAATCCCAACCATATTTGGAATGGTGAGACAAACGAAACATTTGCTCAAATCCACTGTCAACGAAATGTTCAATTCAATTGCCATTTCCAAACACTTCAACCATTTATATTCAAAAAATAATAGATGTACTACAATGTGTGTATCATTGTCACTCACCGTTTGTTTTGCGGTTCAATGTAAATATTTTATTGTACGCAATGTCAGCATTGGCACACACACACACATACCACTTTCCACACCTCATTCCATAATGGTTTTGTCATGACAATGGGGTTTTTTCACATCATGATTTCGAATAGTGTGCACACACACACACATATTTTATCGGTAACTCATTCAACAGTGAACGAACAAGCACATATTCGATGAAATGATGTTTAATGAACAATACTTCACAATGAAATATTGATATAATATGACTAAACACATTTATTTCTAATGACGATCGTCGCTTTTCTCAAGTGTTAATAGAGATTTCATTAGAAAAATATGTATTTAATGGGGTGGCATTGTTACAAGCGTAGTTTAATCATCAAACTTTGTGGCAACGAATAATTTGATATAATCGTTATCGAATATGGCAGTAACAATGTGCCTGTTGAAAAGAATACACTAATAGTAGTCATAAGACTATGAAGTCTATATAAGAGTAAGAGCTTTATTTTCATTTTTGGTGTTTGTTATTATTGGCCAAAAAAATCTCGCTGGGAATAAAGTGGTTTTTTCTTGGAGTTGTAAGATTAACACGAAATATTGGGAGTAAGGTATTTTTTTAACAAATATTAGAATGAGCTTGTCGTACAGTTCAAAGTTTAGTTAAGTTCATTTTATATATATTCATTTAATTTAATGTGCTTCACAATCGCAATTTTTCAATCTATTGTTCTTGGACTTCTTCACGTCATTTTTATACCAATCATACCACACATGATGTTTCTTAAATAAATCATCTAAAATAATGTCCACGCCTGTATCAAAAACAGCCAATGGTGCTTTCCTGACAATATAATTCTTTAGCTCATCGGTGGTGGGAATCTGCATTGTTTTTTCATTTTTGCTTTTCAACACAATCAAGTTTTTACATTTTTGGGCGTAACTATGAGCATGTCGAGTTGAGTTATTTTCAGGATGACCATAATCCAACAAATTAAACTGTTGTTTTTCATAGCATTTTAATGCCGGCAATTGTTTATATGGGCAAATAGTTGGATAGGCACAACTTACCTTAGAAAATGGAAGACCATCCATCTCACATGTGATCTTATCCATTTCTTCAATCTGTTTTATGTTATACCATTTACCACTACTGGCCAGATGCATATGTTTCGTACAAATATTGTCAGTTAATCGTCTTACTGTTGAACGTTCGTATAAAACTATCAATTTTACAATTTCATCATAATCGATATCATCCAAATATTCAAAGTAGCATTTATTACTTGTTCCTGGAATGAACATAATTTTAATATAATTTCCTTCTAATGGTTTTTTAGGTTTTAATTTTTGAATCTTATCCTTTTCCCAAATTTTCTTAAAAAAGTGCCCACTCTTTGGCCTCAAATTTTACATTAACTCTGGGCCCAATTTCAATCCAATTTTGAAATTTGGTGAGTGCAATTTGTTGTATGATTTCTTGTCAACTTTTGCTGATGTGTATGAAACGATTTCATCATTTCAAATCCATGAATGACAAATATCACATTTTCAAAACAATCCAAAATTCGCATATTCATATCATTCAGATATCCAATGTAGAACAGAAGTATTCCATTTGGTTTATGTTGTAAATTATTGTACTTATTTATGTACTCCGAATAGGAACAATCATCAATTTCACCATCGGTTGCTATATACCATTCATAATCATTAGATGGTTTCGTTATGTGCAAAGAGTTCCATATTAAGTCCACATAGGTTCCTCCATCCCCGTTTCGGTTTTTAATTAAATCGCGAGGAATATCGATAGAAATATCTTCGTATTTAGAAGACCACGCAATAACTCTATAATCCGAATAGTCTTTGCTCAACACTTCATTTAGTATTTCATTTACTTTATTCCAATAGAATTAAGAATCTGACACCGAGCCACTAACATCAATGGCTAAAACACATGTGCTTTTAATTTAACCCATTTTTTGTGTGGTTTCTTTCGTTGCTTTTAATAAACTGCATTTTTCTGTAAAGCCGCTACAGCATTTATGTCTTTACGCTTCATGAATCATGAGTTACTTTAGCCGAGATTGAATTTCACAACATGAATCAAATCGTAATGTTGCTTCTTGTGTTGATAAATAAACAAAGTATTGAATCAAATGTATGCATGCACATAAACGACAACTTAATGCATTTAGAGTCTGGTGCTATTGACTATCCATTGTTTGATTGTGTTAAAAATAATCTCTCTCTCTCTCTCTTTTATTTCTGTTCTATTTGAATTCAATATTGTTTATTTTGTACAATTGTATTGTTTCACTGATTTATGTCATGCTTTATTCAAATTAAATTTTCAGTGTACATTTGACGCTCGCTGATGATGGTGTTTCAGTAGAACACCGAAATGCATTGGATATAAATAAAAGTTTCTGAATTGTAAATTCGGTTATTTTATTACGGTTTTTGCGGTCAATAAAGTCAATTTGCAATTAGAATATTCTATCAAATTTTTCTTACAGAATTCATTTGCACAGTTCTTACAGTTAATTTGAAAAAAAAAAAACATTTGAAAGGTTGAGATAACGGAGTCTCACATTTCGATGAGAGCGAAAGAAAAGATGCAACATGCATACGAATTCGGGATCTTTTGGTCTTTCATAATAAATCAACATTCCACCTAAATTGAAATCAGAGAAAAAACCCAAATGATATCATCGCGCGCAATTAAAAAAAGCAAAATGATAATACAATACGAGGCATTGAGAATAAAAGTTACAATGAGAATAACTGAAAACCGCACTTTTGATCAAATGTCGTTAATATTGTTTGTTGCAATTAATTAAAATTCAAAGACAGTTCAATGCTAATATTAAAATAGGTTTTATTCAATTGAAATCCAAAAACCAACTCAACCGTTGGTGCAATACCAGCGTAATCGTTACCTCGGTAGCGATTACTCAATGGTTTGCACTCATACGGTTGTGTTGAGTGCTTAAGTATTATACTCAAAACAATTCTACTCATAACATTAATAGCTTGCTGATGAGAGATGCTTGGATGTCTTCAAGAATTGAGGCTTTGCTCCATATATTCACCGACCATCTCTTGGAAAGTGCAGTTTTTACTATTCCAATTCTCATTCTTAGCAACTCAATTTGATTTAAATTTGTGAATCGATGTTGTTTATGTATTTAAGAAGAAAATGAAATCAGAAGTAACCTTTTGGCTTGCAAAATTTGATCGTGTTCATTTCGATTGTGTTAATAACCCCACTTAATTCAGATGGAGTTTATATAAAGTTTTATGACGTCACAATGTATTTGTATACATAGCGCTCGATCCTCGGATTACCACCAAAAATCTAGAGCGACTAAATTGAAATTCGAATCCGTTGAAAAGTACCTAACTACTTATACTTTATTTTAAAAATTCATTTTTTCGGTTCTTTTAAGACGTTTTAAAATAAAGACCCTCACTTAGAGAGGACGTTGAAAAAAATCAGTTTTAATATGTTTTCAGCTGATTTCGAAAGAAAAGCGAAATCATGACATTGAAAGCGGTAGAAACAAGCACTATCAATCAAAGTGTATTCTTTGGATCAACCAGACCGAGAGTGTTTGTCGCACTTTTTGTTCGTCGGAACGGAATATAAATGTGTACATATGCATAGAGATGCGAATTTATCACTGTTGGAGAGCAAAAGCCCACAATAAAATAGAATGTGCACACCATAAATATATCTATGTCTATGTAAAGTGTGCAAAAACAACTACGGATGCATACTACCGTAAACTTTCGTTTGTTGAGGGCATCAAGTTGATACTGTTGATACTACTGCTGTTCGTTACCTGGTTACGCTCTGTCGTTTTTTGAAGGCATCTAATAATGATGTTACATTTGCAGCACATTGTGCGCGTAAATATCTTTATGAATAATAATCGTAAACAAACCCTAAGCACTCCACCAGAATCGAGTTAAATACGTAAAACATTTGCTTGTTAGCAAGTGAACATTCACAAGAGATAGATAGAGAGAAAAAAAAAGTTGAACTACAGCGGCGAGAAAAAAAATTGAATGCGAGCGACATCAACAACAGGAAAAGCGCGCACGTTTTCCATTTACGCAGCACAGAGAGACAGAGAAAAACATTCACAGAAGCTAATAAAATATGGATAAAGTTATGTAATTTTCAAGTTACATGTCACCTGCAACCTGGTAAATGCCATTCTAAAACAATTTCATTCGTACGACGCTCTTGTGTATGTACGTTTGCAAACACTTTTTTTTCTCACACTTATTTAGCTCGAATGTTTATCGCTCTTTCTCTTACTCCCCTTCCCTTTCTTTTCTCTTTCGTGCTTAAGCTCTCTTTCTCTCGTACTCTCCCATGCTGCCACCTTCTCTCTCCCGTATTTTCAGTGTAGTAAGCGAAATGAAAGCTTAGTAGGCGAAATAGTCAAGTGTTCAGAAAGACATACATTTATGCGAGCAATTGAATGATGCTTGCATCATTTGATGCGCATCGCTAGTGCTTTCGTTGTGCGTTCGGAACACTTCGTGCGCTGCCGAAGATCCGAATGTATGGCGACAGCACAATAGATGCGCATCAAATGATGCAAGCATCATTCAATCGCTCGCATAAATGTATGTCTTTCTGAACGCTTGGAAATAGTACTAACAGTTTTTGTTCGCGTTATTCCCATCACCAAATGGTATACACATTAGAATGCAGGTGAAAATCACAAGCTCGCAATTCAACATTAGATTTTTCGTACCAAACTGAAATGCCGTGAGAGCGAGAGAGAGAAAAAAATTGTCCCAGTGATAAGTTTATTTGGCATTTAAGCCATGCTCACAGTGTGCGTAAATCATTGTTGAAAGCTTTTATGGTCGTTTCAGTCGCTGTTGCGTTTCTCTGTTTGAATCGCCAATTTTCTGCCACTCCGTACCTTCTGGTGATTCGCAACACAAGCACTTGTTTCATTTTGAGGTTTTTGCTACTTTCATTAAATCTCCATAATATGCTCGTTAAATATAAATACACCAATATTAATAATTGCATTTTCAGTCGGTAACAATATACCGAGATCCACCTACAAACAACCGTGTTTTCAAGTGGCAATAGTTTTTGTTTGGTATTTTATTATTTTAACATTTCGTTGAGTGGAAAGTGAAATTTCAATTCGATTTGTGATGTGGGTCGTATCAAAGACCGACCGACCAATCAGTGCCAAAATGTAATTGCATAAGGGCATGCAAATGTTCAATGAGCACATCTTATTGATGGCTTGATAGCATACATTTTCCCAATATTATTTAATCGATATGCATGTTGAAAATAGTTAAATTATCAAAGAAATTGCAATTAGCTGAAAATGAAAAACGAAAATGCATATGGAAACCGAACCGGTTTGCAAAATGAAAAATGATTCATTTCAAAATAACATCAGAAACATTATGCGATCGATTATTGCAACTCACCTTTCAACAAAAAAAAATCGCTATCTATTCGTTGACCTTACCGTGTTTGTAGCGTTTTGATTGTTTTATGTAGCCTGAAAAAAAAGAATGTTCCACGAAATCTGAAAATCAACATTCAATCAAAAGAATAACAAGTAAAACATAAACCAAATTCAAATGTAATTTATAACTTTATTAGTTTTTTTTTGTTGTGTTTGATTTCCATTTACTTTTTTTTACTCAAATTTTCCCATTTTTTTATACCCATACTAATGATTAGTGATTTCAACGATAGTCTAATTTAGATTAAAATACTTTTTTTGTTTGGTTTTTTTCTTCATTAAATATTTGATCTATCAAACAGTCTGTTTTATCGATGAATTTTAAACAAAAACAAAAATATGAAAACAAATCGAATCGGAATGCCAATGTGCGATATATTTGTGTTCTACTTTGAATAGCGAAAATAAAAATTTCTTCGTCTTTTAAACTATTCATCAATCAGCATTTTCGAAGAGAAAAAATTTCCACATAAATTCTTTTTCAAAATCCGATTCGTCAGTCCAATATATCAATCGACGAACAAGAAATAAATAACAAAATTCATTCAGAATTAAGAATTGAATCGCTCGCAATTCGTATTGCAAAGCGAAACAACGAAATATTGTGATAGAAGGAAAATTCAACTTAAATGCATTATACACAGAAATACATAACATGCACGGATTTTATTTCGATTCCATTGTGATGGAAATATGGTGATTTTTTTAATTAAAATATTGAAATGCAATTAAACACAAAGAGTGTGTTTGTATAATTGATGAACTTATTTACACTTTATTGATTAAAAAAAATGAATGATAGCAACGATGAAGACGACGACGACAATACAAAGAATGTTTGAGGACATGGGTGGGGGCGAGTGTTGTGTTAAAGAGTTTTATTCGTTTAAATAAATTTGCCACTGTTATCTATTGTGTGTTGTCACATTGAATACATTATTTCTATGTTACTTATATAAATTGTTTGACATATCAATTCGTTTCGTTTTGTATAAACTGGAAAATACATTTGATTAGAGAATGTTGTGAAATGTTTGAAAATGTTTCAAATATACATAAGACAGTTCATCTAAAAAGTAGGGTGGATGAGTGGGGGTCTGTATTTCGCGATTTATTCTTGGTATTCTTTTCTGTAGTATTCCATCTACAATTACGTATAAATTGTGAGTGTGTGTGTGTGTGTGGTTGTGAATAAAATCCAAAGAATGTATAGTAAATGCAAATGTGTCTCTATTGAGACGATGATTTTCAGCTGTGGAAGAAGTCCGAATTAGGATCTTGTAGTCGTTTGAGCATTGCATTTCTGTGTAACCAATACGGTGGCGGCGAGGGCGGTTGATTCGGCAATAGAATTTTATTTTTCAATATTCCTTTTGGATTTGGTGGACCGGCATCAAATGATGCGAGTCCACTTACACTTTGATTATTTAATGCAGTAAACATAACGGGGTCAGCATTTTTAACGGAATTGCCGGCCGTTGCACGCAATGGTGCTTCTTTCTTTCGTATCGATTCGCATGTTTCTTTCATTTTACAAAGTTGCTCCTGTAAATTACGATATTCTTCCAGAAACCGTTCCAATTGTGCTGCATGATAGTCATATGCATTTGTGGCAGTGGCTGCAGCAGCAGCAACGGGAGTTGTAGCAGATGCGGTTGCATTTGACGTTGATGAGCTTGGCGTTATAATCATTTGCTGTTTGTGCATGGCAAACGATGAAAAATCCAAAAGGGGTGTTTCATCAGCACCAATCAATTTTGATGGTTCTTTGCACGGAGACGATGGTAAACTCGGATTTCTCTTGTGATTCATGTAGTTGTTGCTATTCAACGCTTTTCCACTATTCGATTGAGTTGTTAAATTGAGGAAACTATTTGAACGACCGCCACCGCCGACAATATTTGATTGATTATTTCTTGTGCAAATTGAAAGTGGATAATTGCCGAACGATTCGCTTGATAGACGTCGACCGAATAAATCACTATCAGCAAATGTACTGCTTCCGTATTGACTCGACGATTCATTCAACAACGGTGATTGGCTTTCTGATGGCGTCGCTTTTCGACTCGATATATGCTTTTTTCGCGGAAAAGTGCAAAATGGATTACTTGGCGCTGATTTATTGTTATTACTACTTGTAGTGCTGCCATTGCTGGTTTGCGTGTACAAATGGACTCTCGATGATGTTGTTGGTACGCTTGTTTGCATCGACATTCGGCTTATGTCTAATAGGTCTGGATACTTTTTATCAATATCACAATCACTTTCAGATACCCGTCCTTCGCCACTGCCACTCTGATACATTTTATCTCGGCCATAATTCTTTTCGAAATTACCACTCGACGATATACGTTCACGATTCGCTTTGTGATGGGACCAAGCAACCGATGCACTCACTTTACCACGCTTCGACATTTTACCATCGTATAAATCGATTGATGAATCTGTTGTTGAATCACTGTGAACGATAATGAAAACGAAAACGATAGTATTATCAAATTGTTGTATGAAGATTTTAATCGCTTTTCAATTTGTTCAGAAATTAAATTTAAATTACTTTCAAAAAGAGCACTCTTTCGAATAATTAAAAAGCTTGTTAAAATGTTCGAATTAATTAAAATGCCATAAATTATGTAAATTTCAATATGAATTTCACAAAAAAATCGATTAAAACAAATATATTGTGCAATTTATCTCACCTTAATTCAATTAATCTGGGTATATGTAGATCGCTATCATTGAGCTGTAATGGTTTCATGTTGATGCCATCGATTTGATTCGATATGATATCCTTTTTGGCACTTCGGCTAACCGATGTCGCAACAGTGGTCGAATGCGTCCAATTGAGTGTTTCATCGATTTTAATATTGCTTATCGTTGCATTGTTACTTTCAGCATTGTCTTCAAAACAATCGGTACCATCATCTTCGCTCGGCACATTTCGATAATCTCCATTTCGGCGCATTTGTGCGACCACCGAAATGCCATTTTCACCATACGATTTCATAAATGCGGTTCGATCACCGCGGGGACTTTTGCTCATATTATAATTAGGCTTATTATTCAACTCAATTTTCTCATAACTATCGGTGCGACTTTGGGTATTCCATCGGCTAAGCTTTTTTCGTCGTTTCAATGTGCACACACCAATCACAAGCAGCACAGTGGCAATTACAAAGAAAACAAAGGCGATTACACTGGCCAAAATTACCTTTGTGCTGAGAATTGTTTCGGATGGCTTTTTCGATACGGCCAATGTAACGCTCACTTCAACTTTGCCCGCTTTATTCTCGCCAGAGCAAATATATGTGCCAGCATCTTGGATGTCAGCTGTTAATATTGTTAGATTGCTAGCATTTTGTTGATATTTATATAATTTTCCGCCTCCGCTTCCACTGCTACCGCCACGTCCTCCTTGTGCTGTTGTTGCCAAGTTTGTATTTCCCGTGAGATTTACAATCACCCGATTGCGTATCATCCATTTTACATTTGGTTCTGGTATGCCGCCAACCGAACAGCTCATTGTAACATTTCGTCCTTCGATCGCATGAAAGTGATTTTCGTTTGGTGAAAAAACACTTGGCTTACACGCGTACTCATCCAAATCGATTTTATCCCATGTCTTTGATACTAATCGGTCCGGATATTGACACATCGGTGGTATATTATATGGGATATTTTCACGTAGCATCCATTCTCGTAAGGGTCGTAATGTACAAGTGCAATTCCATGGATTGCCAGCCAATTCAAAACCGTGCAAATTTTGTAGCGATATCACAGCAGCCGCACGGATTTCGGTTAATTTGTTACTGTCTAACTTGAGCCACTTTAACGATGTTTCTAAGCCAGTGAATGCGCGGACATCGATTGCTGTAAGATGGCAATTTGACAATTCTAATCGTACCAATTGTGACAATTTAACAAATGCATCGTTTTGAATGCGTTGAATTGGATTGCCAATCAATTTTAATTCTCTCAGTTCGTCCGTCGATTCGAATGCATGCGACGGTATCATATTCAATAAATTATCGCTTAGATCTAATTCAACTAAATTTCGTAGCGCTCTAAATGCATACCGTTCGATCGTTTTAATATGGCATTTTGTGAGGAAAATTTTCTGTAAATTCACCAAATTTGCACGATTAAAGACGTCATTCGAAATGATTTGGATATCGTTTCGTGACAAATCGAGTATCTGGGTGGCCGCATCCAATATCGTTGGTATTGCACTTAAATTTGCATTAAGGCACACTACCGATTCTTTACCACTTTTCCATTTGCATTCACATAAATGCGGACACGCCGCCATTGATTCGTCGATGTTGCCGAATAGAAGCACTAGTACAACCATCGATGTAAATAAAATGTTCCATATGCCGGGCAATTTTATTGCTACTGCTGCTGTTGATGCTTGCGAACGACAATTGATCGTTTCTTCCATGGCCTATCACGTGCTCTTGTGCTGTATCATGGGCTCTTCTGCATCGAATGCTCGGTTGCATCGTCGCCATAACGATGAGATGTCAGCGCTCATATCTTCATTACCCGATTCGACTTTGCCCCACTTACTACGTTGAAATGTGCCGTTCACTACTCACACTCTATCTATTTCGTTCGCTATTATTAATGACGACAATCCTTTGGGTGTACTTTGGCCGTAATATCAGGAAAAACAGTTTTTTTTTCACCTCCGGTTTTGTTGTTTATGGCGTCGTCGTCGTCTGCAATGATAAAATAGAACACCGAATATATATTAAAAAATCTTGAATTGCAGCCAGCACTAAAATTAGAAAAAAAAGAGTTCTGATTAAATTCGTGGTTGGAAAAACAGCGTCGTGCATGAAATATTGTACCTAGCGTACGTACAAAAGAAAAGTCTTTGATGTCGCTTTTCTCATGAATTTACATTATGGAAAAAACGAGCCAGAGAAATAATAAGGATCTTCCAGTTGCGTTCAACAATTTTGCTTAAAGCCCTTTCACTACCCCCGCTTCCCTTTCGCGCTTTGTCTCTCTGTCTCTCGACTAAGTGGAGAAAATTCCTTTTGGCAATTGCATTTTTTTTAGCCACGACGGATTATTGAAAGGAATTCCCAACACGAAAATTCTTTTGTACGAAGTCGTATGATGGCAAATCTCAGGTACGCAATTTCGGTGAAAGACAGAAAAGTTCAGTCATTACACGTGTTCATACACTTTTTTGTAATATTTTTTTCTTCTTTTTCTTTGGCGCTTGCAAAATGCTCACATATTTGTGACTGTAACTTATTTACCTTCTTAAATCGTTAATATCTTTCGGCAAAGAGAGGGAGAGAGAACACACATCACAATTTAATGTGCCAAGGGAACTTTAGCGTAAACAGATTATTCAATTATGTGCAATATTCTCGTCATTTTCCTTCCTTTCAATCTAAAAAAAAAAACACCGATTCCCATATTATATGGGCCGTATATCACAAAATACAAAGTGAACAACTCTAATTTATAATTCAATATCATTTTCTCGTTTTCTCTTCGCAAAATCAAATCAATCTTAAATTCAAAGCATAGAAAAAAGTGTGTCTTCTTCAAAGCATATGTGTTTAGATCACGTATTGCAAAATACCCTATGGATTGAATGAATTGTACTTTGAGGTGATGGAATCATTTGATTAATCAGATTTAAAAAGTCGGTCAATACACCAATATTTCATTTCACTTAAACAAATAATCGCAAGAAGCGTTCTTGTTATTGATACTATTAATTTGATGGAACTGAGGCATGCAAATATCTTTTAGAAATGTGCCGTTGGGAAATAACGAGTTGAATTTTTTAGAGAAAGTTTTTGAAAATTCACTGAATTCACATGAACGTACGTGTTTTTAGAAGTGCTCATACTCATACTCAAATTTGCTTGTTCGAACGATTTTTTATCAGTGTGTAGAAGATTATGTACATATCATGTTGTACTACGAATGTTTTCATGATAAGATAATCGTCATATTGGATTATCGGCGTGATGATTATAAATAGGTCCATACATTTCGATGATTCAATCTATTAGAAATTGAGTCACGAAAATAGATGCAAATAGTTATATCCAAATATAATAATTCAATTCGTAATAAAAAAAAAAACGAAAAAACAGCATAATAGAAATAAGAAAAGTCCGCCTTTTCCTCACCGTTTCCAACAGACAATATATTTGAATTTTGCCACCTGGCATAACGTTAGGCGTTAATTTAATATTGCATGGTGAGAATTATATCTAGATGCCAATACAATAGCAGAGGACCAACTTGTAAATATGATTACAAATAACAAAGAAATAACTAAGCTCACCATTTGGAATAACAATACAATAAGAACTGTTCGCTCGATTGGCCAAAATTTGAAAAAATTAAAAGTGCTCACTATCGGGGATATTGCAACTGATGCTTTGACAAATGATTATGTTTGTAATTTTCTAGCAGTGACGAGCTTCAGTGTCTTTTCTAGAAATTTGGAATATTTATATGGAAACATTTCTTTTAATATGCCAAACCTGAAAAATCTCAAATTGGTCAGATCGAATATTGATCATCGAATCACAAATTTTATCAATCGCTTCAACAAATTGGGGACTGTATATGTGAATGGAATAAATGAAGGAAGTATCATGAGTTGTATTGAATCACTAGCTCATGTTAAAGAATTTGTTACAACTAACTTTGAACACAGTCTATCCGCTTAGATGCATTTATTCGATAAACTTAGTAGATACATTTTGGTACATTTCGATTTTGCGACATTTATTAGGTTTGTGAAGTTCAGTTTCACTTGAATCTATAAATTTTGATTTCTGAAATACTAAAATAAAAGTCTAATAAACAGATCCAACGTGAAAAAGTTGGTGAGGGTAGTCCATGTATTTATCTGACTGGTTCATTAACTATTGAAGTTCATACTAAATGTTTTTGCCTGAATTTATATCAATATGTTGGAACTAGAAGATATAGAAATGATGATAAAAGGTATTTAATTTATGTAAAAACTATCGTGACGCGTGTTACAATAAAGATGCTGGGCAAATATCATCATTTGTATGTGACGTATATAGTCCTAATTTTTTCCAAATATTTGTTCAAGACACTTATTTTGGAATGCGTTTAATTAAACGTTTTTTTCCATCGAGTATTGAAAAATTCACAAGATCTAAATCATGTTCAGTATATATATGATGACAATTATTCGTCAAACTGGTTCTGCTTAGGATTTTACTTGTATCAACCAGACGAATAATAGTACATCCTATTCTAAAGTTTGGGATATATTTAAAATAGTCAATTTGAACTCTAATTTTTTTTATGAATGAAGAAACATGAAGATTTTATGTGTTTGGGGTTTGGTTTTAATCCTTATTGAAGGCTTTGTAAGTACTATTTGAATTCTAAATTTTGAAAATTTTAATTTTTTTATCAATACATTCAACAATTTATTTTTTTGAATTTTTCGATTCTAAAACAAAATTTTCCTGTACATAAAATTAGATAATCGAATGCGAAGGAGGGAATGTAATTGGAAACCTAAAAGACCCGATCACAGGGGTCTGTTCAAACAATCCAGAATTGCCAAATATTTTAATTGCCGAAATCCTCTACCGAGCTGGTTTTGAAACAACTAAAAATGCAGCAAAAGCTAAAATAAGGTCCAGAGAAGCAATTGATAGAATACTTGAAGATCACATAATTATTATTAAGTCACCACAAGTTAAGCAACACAATGAAATCATTGAGTTTCATCAAAAAGATGAACGTTGTCTTGAAATTCACAATTATGACAAACTAATGAAACTTTTACACCATCTTGGTGAACATGTCAGGAGGATTCGTATACATTACTATAATATGAATGATGGTCGTGACATAAACAAAAATGTTATCAAGAAGTATGCAAAACAATTGACCGAACTTGCCATGTTTACGCAATTGTTGTGTCATGAATCATACATTGAACAAATTTGGCAAGACATTTCAAGTGAAAATGGAGAAAATCATTTTCCAGAATTGAAGAAGTTTGAATACCACGGTCGAATCACCAAAAACCCATTCGATGTAAATTCAATATTTCCCAAACTTGAAATTTTCAAATTGGTTGGTGAAGTGGACGATATAAACTGCTTGGCAAATGTGAGGCACCTGAAGGAGCTATCACTTAATACTGAGTCAATTGGTGAAGATCAACTAGTAAATATTATCGCAAATAATAAACAATTAACTAAGCTCAATATTTGGAATAACAACAAAATTACAATAAGAACGGTTCGAACGATTGCCAATAATTTAAAAGATCTAAAAACATTCACTATTGGAGATGTTGCAACTAACTTTTTTGTGTCAACAACTAATGATGTGTATAATCTTACATCAGTAATCAGCTTCAGTGTTTTCTCTGATAGAATCGAAAATTTATATGGAAACATTTCATTTAATATGCCGAATCTGGAAAATCTCAAATTACTCGGATGGAACTTCGATCATCGAATAACAAATTTTATCAATCGCTTTCATAAATTGAAAGCCGTATTTGTGGATGGATTAGCTGAAGATAGTTTCACGAGTTGTATTGAAAAATTAACCCATATTAAAGAATTTTCTACAGTTTTTGTAAAGAGTCAACTGTCATCGTTGAAAGTTTTTTTCGAAAATTTTGATGCATCAAAATCTTTGAACACATTAAAGTTGTTAAATTTTGATTATTCCGAATATCCTTTTTGTGCAGCAACCATGAATGAGATAAATATTCATTTGAAAGAAAGTAAGAAACCAACATGGCAAATATCTTATGGATATGTGGATCAGCCGAAGGAATATAAGGGTTATTACTTGATGTTTGGACGTGATCCATAAATTTATGGGATGTAATGTTTTACTTTTTTTTTCATTTTCAAAAGTTCGCAAAAATATATTTAAAAGAAATTAATTGAATGACAATTTATTCATTTCCTCTCATTAATAAAAGTGTTAATAAAATTGAACTGTAAATTGCAAAATTTTTTGTTAATTTTTTGCTTAAATATTTTTCACAGTTTTTTTCACACGATACCAAAAATTTACTTTGATCAAAGTGGAATCGCTCATGAAGAGCGTGTTAGTGTAATTTGTGTAATGTCGTTTGTATTTTAATGGTATTATCTGGAAAATAATTAATAATGTTGAATGCGTTTAATTAACAAAATTTCTCCGCTGAGTATTGATGCGCAAAAATATTTCAATAGAACCAGTGAAAAGAAATTACTTGGATCATCTATACACTTCAATATATATTCGATTACCAACATTCGTAAAATGATTCCAGCTTCTATTTACACAGACGAATAATATTTCGTAGTCTAAAGTATATTTCTGACGCGTGTACAATAGTATAAAATACTGTGATCAAATCAATTATTATCAGTTGTTTTTGATATTTGTCAAATTAAACACTTGAAAAACTGAAAAAATGAAGACTTTATGGATTTTAACTCTGGCTTTATTTCTTTTTGAAGGCTTTGTAAGTACAGTTTGTAATTTAATTCTTCGAATATATTCGGTAACAATTTAGTTTTTGTATATTTTTTTAAATTTAAAAACAAACATTTTCTGAACACAAAATTAGATCATCCAATGCGACGGAGGGAATGTGATTGGAATCGCAAAAGATCCGAGTGCAAATCAATCAGAATTGCCAATTGAATTAATTGAAGAAATTCTCTTCCGAGCCGGTTTCAAAACGACGAGAAAAGCAGCACAAGCTGAAATGAAGATATCTCGAGGAATGTTGAACAAAATATTCAAAGAGTATATAATCATGATTGAGATATGTCCAGATGGTGAATCTAAAGAAATCATTGAGTTTGATAAAAAAGCTGAACGTTATATTAAGATCCAGAGTTATGGCAGACTAATGAGACTTTTTAATCATTTTGGTGAACATGTCAGGAGAATTCATATCTACTACGATTATATGAATGACAATATGCGTCGTGATATAAACAAAAATATAATCAAAAAATGTGCAAACCAACTGACCGAACTTGCAATTTTCACACTTTCGTTTGACATAGACGATCATATTGAACAGATTTGGGATGAAATTTCGAATGAAAATGGAGAAATTCATTTCCCAGAAGTGAAAAAGTTTAAATACAATGGTCGAATACCTCGGCGTTCATTCGATGTGAATTCAATATTTCCCAAACTTGAAACTCTAAAGCTGTCGGGTAACGTGGACAACCTTAGCTGCTTAGTACATCTTCGTCAACTGAAAGAATTATCACTAAACTCTTTATCAATACAAGAGAATGCGGTCGTAAACATTATTACAAATAATAAACAAATCACTAAGCTCGCCATTTTTAGTTATAACACAATAAGGACGGTTCGATCGATTGCCGAAAATTTAAAAGATCTAAAAACACTAAATGTTAGAGATGCTGGAACTAACTTTTTTGTATCCACAACTAATCATGTGTATAATCTAACATCAGTAACGAGCTTAAGTGTTTTCTCTGATAAAATTGAACAGTTTTATGGAAACCTTTCATTTGATATGCCACACCTGAAAAATCTCGAGTTGATTGGATGGAACTTTGATCATCGAATTACAAATTTTATCAATCGCTTCCATGTATTGGAAACAGTATATGTGCATAAATTAACTACAGATAATCCCATCAGTTGTATTCAACCGTTAATTTATGTGAAAGAATTTTCTACAGTCAACTTTGAAAATAGCGAACTGTCATCTTTGAAGGTCTTCTTCGAAAATTTCGATAAAACAGCATCAAATTTGATCACATTAAAATTATTTTATTTTAATGATTCAGAATATTCTCGTTATGAAAAAACCATGAACAAAATAAATAATCATTTGAAAGAAAGTATGAAACCCACTTGGCAAATATCTCATGGATATGGAACAACCAAACCGGAGGGGAAATCTCAACTTCACTTTTTGATGTTCAAACGTGATCTATAATATCAATTCATGGCCGACAATGTTTTCTCTTCGATTTCAAAAGATCGCCAGAAATAATTGAAAAAAAAAATGAAATTTAATTGATAATCTAATTACATTTTACTTTTGATAACAGAGTTGGTAAAAAAAATTCTACGTATACTATATTGAAAAATAGTTTGTCGATCTTGAAAGCTTTGATAAAACAACATCAAATTTGAATACAATAAAGTTGATTATTC